TGAAACCAGGATTCCTGCTCAGAAACCAGGATTCCTGCCATGGCTGGTCTTTGGATCGCAGAGCTGCTGGGTTGTAATTTTCCCTAGTTAAGAGACTTATAATAACTGCTTTCCCCCCCATCTTATATATAAGTCTCTCTCTTATACACACACACACACACAGCTACATAATATATGTTCTCCTCTTTTTAACTCGAATTTCCTTCTTTTTTTTCACCCTTCCTGTTGGGCTGCAGCGATACCGAAGCGCAGTGTGAAGCCATGCAGGAAATTGTGGATCAAGTCTTGGAGGTAAACAGCTGGTTCTGGATTTTGCACGGATTTTTTGGGTGTGTGTGTGTGTGTGTGAATTTGAGGCCAGAGGCCCCTGCATCAAGCCCCCATCCTTTGAGAAACGCAGCGCAAGCTTGACCTCGAAGTAAACCTCCCTGCCCTTGTGGCTTAGGATGTTCCTTTTGTGGTGTGTTTCCCAATCACGCTGCACTGTCCTTCCCTCCCGTCCTGGGTTCTTGAATCTCCTTGCACGCTCACTGTTGGTGTCGCACTCTCTTTTCCAGGAGGATTTTGATCAGGAGCAGCTCTCAGTCCTGGCGTCCTGCTTACAGGAGCTGTTCAAAGCTCATTTCCGCGGGGAGGTTTTGCCCGAAGAAATCACGGAAGAGTAAGCACACGGGAACGGGATAGTTGATCCTCCGTCTATCTGCTCGTACGGGATAGTCAATCCTCAGTCTATTTGCTCGTACGGGATAGTCAATCTTCGGTCTATTTGCTCATACGAGATAGTTAATCCTTGGTCTATCTGCTCATACGGGATAGTCAATCCTCGGTCTATTTTCTCATACGGGATAGTTAATCCTTGGTCTATCTGCTCATACGGGATAGTTAATCTTCGGTCTATTTGCTCGTATGGGATAGTCAATCTTCGGTCTATTTGCTCGTACGGGATAGTTAATCCTCGGTCTATTTGCTCATACAAGATAGTTAATCCTTGGTCTATCTGCTCATACGGGATAGTTAATCCTTGGTCTATCTGCTCATACGAGATAGTTAATCCTTGGTCTATCTGCTCATACGGGATAGTTAATCTTCGGTCTATTTTCTCATACGGGATAGTTAATCCTTGGTCTATCTGCTCATACGGGATAGTTAATCCTTGGTCTATCTGCTCATACGGGATAGTTAATCTTCGGTCTATTTGCTCGTACGGGATAGTCGATTCTCTGTCTTGCTGCTCTTGATTTTTGTGAGAATAGGCCAGGAGGAAACTGGCTTGTTTAGTCCAAAAAAAACCACACAGATTGAAAGATAGTTCTGTGGCATGTGTAAATGTAGTGTTTCTCTCTTTTTTACATTTTCGCATAGGTCTCTGGAAGAATCTGTAGGAAAGCCGCTTTACTTAATATTTAGGTAGGTTTCCTGTTCATTCCTTTATTAGATCTTTTATCCTGTACTTTATGAGTAACTTGAGGCAGTGAACAGATCCAAAGACACCTCCCGCCTCCTATTTTCCCCACAACAACAACCCTGTGAGGTGGGTTAGGCTGAGGGAGAAGGACTGCCCCAAAGTCACCCAGCTGGGCATCATGCCTAACGCAGGACTAGAACTCCCAGTCTCCTTGTGATTGGCCCAGAGTCACCCACCCGACCTTCGTGACTTGACTTAAGGCGGAACTAGAACTCCCAGTCTCCTAATGATTGGTTCAGAGTCACCCAGCCAACTTTCATGGCTAAGATGGGACTAGAACTCCCAATCTCCTGGTAATTGGCCCAAAAGTTACCCAGCTGGGCTGCATGCCTAACGCAGGACTGGAACTCCCCGTCTCCTTGCGATTGGCCCAGAGTCACCCAACCGACCTTTGTGACTTGACTTAAGGTGGAACTAGAACTCCCAGTCTACTAGCGATTGGTTTGGAGTCACCCGGTTGGCTTTCCTGGCTAAGGCGGGACTAGAACTCCCGGTCTCCTCGCGATTGACCCAGAGTCCCCCCGACCAACATTCGTGACTGAGTCAGAACTAGACCTCCCAGTCTCCTGGTTTCCAAGCCAGCGCCTTAAACGACTACCTCAAAGTGTCCCTCCCCGTTCTGAACCTCCCCCTCTGTTCCTCCCTTTGGTGCCTGAGCCTTGCGGGAGAACCTCCGTGTGTGTGACCCGGGGTTTTTCCACGCATGTGTGAACCCTCACCTGCTGCTTAACTCTCCCCTCCGCCGCTGCCCCCGTTTTCAGGAACCTCTGCCAGATGCAGGAAGACAACAGCAG